AGAGAGAGAGAGAGAGAGAGAGAGAGAGAGAGAGAGAGAGAGTCTTGGGACTTCAAGGCATGTGATATGGAGGTTGCATTCTCCTTCCCCAACAATACCATAATATCAGTTTCAAATTTAACATTGGGCTAGGCATAGCGTGAGATATTCAGAATAGCAATTCAAAAGATCTTTTATACCACAACACCATCTAAGCCAACTGTAGGGAAAGGGGTCCTTGTTTTCTTATTGTTATGCACCTAAATACAAATACATCCATAAATAAATGCATGAATACAAAAAAAGATCTTTTATGTAAAATTCACATTTTGCTCTGTGGACTAGGTTTTTGTTTTTATTATACCAAATGATGTCTTTAATTTCATGAGGTATACTGTAATGAAAATATTTCTTCCAAACTTCTTTTGAAGTACTTCTACTTTTAAGGAAATTAAAGATCTATGCAATCTTCTTCTACATGAAATTAATACCATTAAAATTTGATTATTCTTTATTTTAGTTACTGGAATCTCTATTACCTCTTGGAAGTGAAATCACCTGTTTCCATAGATGCATTTTGTTTCTCCAAGCCACTGCATCATTAGTCAAAGAAGTCCTGTGTCACAATGGATGAGCCTCCATCAACAAATTCAGCTGGGGAGGTGTTTTAGATACTCTATTTTCAGAATTAATGGTTCAAAGGTGCAATTTTCATTGCACAGCCACTTCAGACTTGTGTCACTCATAAGAATGGCATCTTTTAAGACCGATGAACTTCTATTTTTAGTTTATTATATGCATTTAAAAGCTAGCAACAATTTCCAACCCAATTTCTATCTGAAAATCTGATGCAGAATGAATATTTCAAAGAGTAATGCTTCCTTTGCAGGTTCAGTATGCTTGAGTCTTATCAAACTCCATATTGTATAGTCTGTTTTCTGGATATGAAACACCTTACAAATTTATTAGATGCTTTGGCTGTCCTAGATAATGCCATAAGAAGATGTAGTAACTCCTGCTATGTAATAAATTTGAATACTCAGGATAGTTTTGTACGAACCTAAGTGTAATTCATCATTATCCCAACTCTCCACTTTCTCCAATTTATGTGCATTCTGGTGCTTAGAACAAGTTGATGAAGTGCCTATTTCTCAGAACATAACAAACCAACATAAAACTTTCTAAAGCTACAATTGTATTTACAAAAACATATAAATCATTGCCTGCCAAAGATTAAGGCTAATTTAAGCTCACTATCTGGAAATACTTAAAGACTTTTTTCCTCTCACTCACTGCTTGCTAAATTAGTTGCCTTGTTAATGAAGTTTAATCATTTATTACTCAGGGCTATAAAATGGTCTATGTAGCAATAGCTTTAGGGTCTGAAGCACAAAATGGAATAGAAACACCTTTCAATTCTACCATTTATAATCTGCAAACATGTTTTAAAAGATGACTTTAAAATGATGCTATGAATAGTTGGTAGGTTTTTTCCTTTGTTTGGGGTTTTGTTTTTTCTTTGTTTCTTTTCATGTCTAACATTGTTGGGTCATTTGGTACTGTGAGTTGCTTATTAGTTTCTTTAAATTTCAAAAATTTGAATGTGCAATAGCATCATATTTATTGTAATTTTTCTTATTATCACATTTTGTTTGAGAAAAGAAACAATTGTTTTGTTCCTTATTAGTGAGTTTCAAACAGAAGTTTAGCATGGGTGAGTGATTTTAATGTACATTCAAAACCTAATATTAGGTGCCATGCTGACTCTTCAAGTCATTGTCTTCTCACTTTTACCCAACTTTTATGAGTTTTTATGATAATGATGAATGTGCATCTGACATTCACATTTATTCATTTATCCATTAATTCATTCCCTCATCATTTTAATATACCACAAGGTAAGAATATTATTGCTATGCTATATCAGCTCTTTGTAAGGACACTGTTCTCACATCAATGGTGCCTGTAAGTAGGGGAGCAGACAGCATGACTCTGGTCTCTTCATTTTCTCTGAGTTGTGAAGAAGTGTACAGCAGCAAGATAGATGAACTTGTCAGCAAGAATGCTGGGAAACAGGCAAAAAAGCAAAGTTTTATCTGGGCAGGAGCCCATGGGTGAAGCTCACATTTAGGGTGAGACTTCCTGCTCAGTAATCTCATCAAAAAATTCCATTATCCAGCAGTGGGTATTAAATACACTTGAATTAAAAACCAAGATTAGTTTACAAGTCTAACCCTTGTACACTTGACAAAAACCATATCTTATGTAACTCTTAATTTCCAAACATAAAATAGTAACAATGTCATAATTCCATAAATATGGTATAATTATCCACATACAACTTCAGTGTATTATTACTTTTAAATATATGGCAAAGTCTCTGGGGGATTATTTAGTCTTTTAATATTGCAAATCCTAAAAATGATAGCAAAAATTTACAACACTTAATCACTAATATTATTTCAATTGATATTATACAGCACTAAAAAGAAATAGAAAACTAAAATGTTTCCTTAATATGTGTGTATATTCAGTGTGTGTGTGTGTGTGTGTGTGTGTGTGTGTGTTGTATTGTGTGTTGTGTTCTTAATAAAATAAATTGACAGAAACACTCATGTCAATTGCATTCCTCCTTGCTGTTACTGGTCATGCATCGTTAAGTGATATTTATAATTGCCTTCCTTATTACTATTTCTCCCAATCTCAAAAAGCACCTAAACATGTTTTTGTTCTTTCTATAAAAGCTGACCCACATCTTCACCCTTGAAAGGTCTTGGCTCTTCATTATTGTGCCTTCCTTGTTTTTTGCTTGTTTGTTTTGTTTTCCTCCCTATTGGCCTTAACCTCATAGCACAGCAACATAAAGAGACTTCCTAAAGTATCTCCTGTATTCCAGACACCATCTTTCTTATTTCCATACTCCAGACCTCCAGGCAATTTCCACCTGACTGGTGCTATTACTGTATGTTAAAATAGCCACTTCACCATTCTATCAAGCAAGCTGCTTCAGAATGATGGGAACCATAATGCAGATGGTGAATGACATGAACATGGGCCTGCTATTGCACTTCTTTGGCTGTGGTGAGTCCCCTGGTAAAGCAATGCTGTATGAAGTACCATGGTGGTAGGTAAGGTGTACAGTATTCCCAAGGATAGTTGATTTTGCAGAAAGATTATAAGCAGGAAAGGAAAGTCCACAATCAGAATAAGAATCTATTTCAGTAAGGATGAAGTTTTTCCCTTAGCATGATGGAAGTGATCTAAAGCAGTGAACCTGTCACCATGGCACTGTACATGTACCTTTGTAAATGGTTCTGTATTTTGAGCTCAGTGTTGGTTTCTGTGCTGTAGGGAGCCGTCCCTGCATTCTCCATTACAATGATGGCGCCTGCATCTGGCAGGCACTGAATGTAAACAAGATTATTGCCCAGGCGCTGGGTAATTTTCCATTCCTTGATCTCTGCCTATTCCGTGGCGTCATATGGCCTGATGAGCTGCAGCCAATCATAGGGTGACACGTCCCAGGCGGCAGCTGCCAGCCTTTATTAGGGGACGGGATTCTTGGCTCGGGGTCTCCGCTCTGGTAAGCTTATGCTCTCCTCTCAAGAAGCTTTACTGCAGAAGGATCCGAATGTCCTGTGTGGTTCTTGCTGGCGAGGCGATAGCGCGGGACATCTGGTGCCGAAACCCGGGAACTTGTTAACATCGCCGGCACTGCGGAGACCCCTCTAACGGGGCGGATTCAGAACTGCAGGGTGGTAAGTTCGGGGAGGTATGCTTTATTCTGACACCTTCTTTTTTTACTGTGTTTTTAATGTGTCACCACTATGGGATGGAAAAGCCTTAGTTCTAGTCTTTATTCTTCTTTTGTTCACATTGGTCTTATATTATGCCCACCGTGGCTGGTGTTCCAGTTCGAGACCAAGCTTACCCCAGGTAGTCTCTTCAAAACAGAGAGACCTAATTAAAAACTGTCTAGAGATTGAGGCTTGCCGTCCCATGGTAGCAGAGAGTCAAAAAACACTTAAAGAGGTACAGGATAATATATCAGAAACCTAACAAGATGAGAGATTAGGAGCTCAAAAAAGGAAGGACATGTCTAAGGAAAAAGGCCCTCCCCAGGATACAAAAAAAGGGGGAGAGAAAATAGGGAATAACCGGTCACACCCCGGTAAATTTAAGAGAAATAAAGACTCAAAACCTAGCCTCTGCCCTACAATGAAACTAGAGGCCTTGGAGCTGAGCAGCTCAGACTCTGAGATTTTAGACTCTAGCGAGGAAACAGAGCTAGAGCAAGACAGATAACACCCTGATAGAAAAGTGAAAGCAAATATGAGGCCATCGCCTGTTAATCCAGCGGGTGTAC